CCAGGCTCCAACTCCGCCCTGTAAGTGGAGCAGCTGGGCCAGGGGTTCGGGCCAGGCCAGCATCTCAGGGTGCTGGGGGCGGCCGAGGGAGGGAGGGTGACGCACATGTACTTGGGCCACATCTGGCCACGTCCAAGGTTCCATCCGGTCCGGGTTTGTTTTTCTGTTTGTTTGTTCTTTTCATCCGGAAGGTTGGCAAGCTGGTTAAAGAGGCCGCGTCTCGCAGCAACCTGAAGAGGGTGACGCTGGAACTCGGGGGGAAGAACCCCTGTATCGTGTGTGCCGACGCCGACCGTGAGTCTCTCCCGGCACTTTAGGGGGTTCGGGGGTGTCTCCAGGCTTCCTGGACCGAACTCAGAACCAAGGGGAACACACACACACACACACACACACACACACACAAACCACACGCACACACACACACAGAGGCACACACAGTGGGGGTGTGTTTCCACCTTGGGCCCTGCTCACCTACACAGATGGAGATGAAATGCAAGTGCCATTTGATGCTCAGCCAGTGTGGCTCAGTGGTTGAGCGTTGACCTATGAACCAGGAGGTCACAGTTGGATTGGATTCCCGGTCAGGGCACATGCCCGGGCTGCAGGCTCCCAATAGGGGGCGTGCAGGAGGCAGCCGATCCATGATTCTCTCTCATCATTGATGTTTCTCTCCCTTCCTGTCTGAAATCAATTAAAAAAAAATTTTTTTTTTTAAAAAAAGCAAGCTCCATGGGACGGAGGCATGCCCAGGTGGTCACCAGGGGGCTGCCTGATTCTGCCCTTCAAGGTCAAGTTGACCTTCCATCCCCTTGGAGTGGGAGCCATGAGAACAAAGCCAGTTTCTTCTCCAGACGCTCAGGTCCCTGAGCAGGAAGGGGGCTGGAATAAGAGGAGGAGGAATAGGGCAGGTGTGTTCCACTCTTAGGCATTCATTGTTCTGCCCTCCCTGCCCCTTAGGGTCATATTTATGTCTTGCAAAGAACAGCCTCCCGACCTGCCCAATAGGGCCAGAAATTCCTTTCTTGAGGAACAAAGCCTTCCATTGCACATGCAGATAAAGGTTGGAATTGCAAATAGCCCTGAGACAAACACTATTTCTCACTAAGGTGTGAATGACTGATAGCATGTCCTCTCCCGGAAGCTGGCTTTCCCTGGGACAGAGGCCTGTGGAAATGGACTGTTTATGTTGTTCCCGACTTGGTGTTCCCTTGTGGAAGCATCATCAGCGTTGCTAATGGTTTTGGGAACCGCGTGGGTGTGGCCCCACTGTGACCCACACTCAGAGCTCCAAACGCCCGTCTTAAAGAGCCAGGACTCCCATTTGGCTGAGTGCCGCCATTGCTAGGTACCCCATCTGCCCCGCAGCTCCCCCTCTTTTCCTCCCAGGGAAGCAAACGACAATGAGAACACAAGACTTCGTTTGGCGGTTGGTTGGACGAGGATCGTAAACACCCGACATAGCCATCTCCTCTTCCCGTGGGCAGTGCCAGGCCACAAAATTAAATCCTGACGCAGCTGGCATCCCGGGCATGATATCAACGAGAACATGTCACTGTTCCCCGCCACGGCGGCCCCCACCCCGGCTCCCGGCAGGAAATGAATGCGTTATTTTGGACGAAGGCCTTTTTAAAAAATATATTTTCTTACTGATTTCAGAGAGGGAGAGAGAGAGAGAGAGAGAAACATCAATGATGAGAGAGAATCATGGATCGGCTGCCTCCTGCACGCCCCCTGCTGTGGATGGAGCCCGAAACCTGGGCCCATGCCCTGACCGGGAATTGAACCGTGACCTCCTGGTTCATAGGTCAATGCTCAACCACTGAGCCACACCGGCCCGGCCAGTACCCGGTTTTAATTCAATGCCAGCTCAGCTCTGCAGTTCAGGTTCAGGCCCTGCCAGGCAGAACCCATGCTTTCTCTAACTCTTCCAAGTCCCGCACGGGGTTCTGTTCCCTAATAGGACCCTTCTGTCGCAGACGGCGCAAAATCTGGGCTCCTTTCAAAGTTCTTGCCAACGGGGCTGCATCCGTACTTAGCAGATGTTATTCCAAAGGACATTAGTCCCGCCCGGCCGGCGTGGCTCAGAACCAGGAGGTCACGGTTCGATTCCCGGTCAGGGCACATGCCCGGGTTGTGGGCTCCATCCCCAGTAGAGGGTGTGCAGGAGGCAGCCGATCCATGATTCTCTCTCATCATGGATGTTTCTCTCTCTGTCTCCCTCTCCCTTCCTCTCTGAAATCAATAAAGATATTTTTTTTAAAAAAGGGGGGTGGGGGGAAGGATGGGTCCCTGAGCAAATGAAACAGGACCTGGGACCATTCTCTGCTCTGATCCGCGTAGTAAACACACTGACAAGTCCTGCAGGGGGGACCTCTTCAACTCCAAACTCAGCCGACCCCAAAATGTGTCCCATCGCCCGTGCGTTTGGGGAAATGCTGGGAACGAAATTAATTTCTGAAGTTTGTCCGGGAGCCTGTGTTCCTGTGTGGGCAGAGCTGCCGCTGTGGCCAGTCCTGCCCTAACGACTTGATTGCTTCCTCTGCCCCCGCCACCCGCCGCCCGTGCCGCCTCGCCTTCCAGTGGACTTGGCCGTGGAGTGCGCCCACCAGGGAATATTCTTCAACCAAGGCCAGTGCTGCACGGCCGCCTCCAGGGTGTTCGTGGAAGAGCAAGTGTACCCCGAGTTCGTCAGGAGGAGCGTGGAGCGCGCCAGGAAGCGGCCCGTCGGGGACCCCTTCGACGCCCGAACGGAACACGGGCCCCAGGTAGCCTACTGATGTGTGGGAGCCCGGGGTGCGTGTCAGGCAGCCCCGCTGGCCCTGGTTCGGCCGCTCTGTGCTGGGTGACCCCGGGTCCCTCCTGGAGCCTTGAGGGGCGCTGACGTGCCTTCCCACTGAATGGTTTTCTTTTTTTAATTAAATCTTTATCGTTGAGAGTATTCCAGCTGGCCGGTGTGGCTCAGTGGTTGAGCATCGACCTGGGAACCAGGAGGTCACGGTTCGATTCCCGGTCAGGGCACAGACCCCGATTGCAGGCTTCATCCCCAGTAGGGGGCGTGCAGGAGGCAGCCAATCCATGATTCTCTCTCCTCATGGATGTTTCTCTCTCTCTCTCTCCCTCTCTGAAATCAATCAAAATATATTTAAAGTAAATAATTAAAAAGAAACCACAAAACCCCAGTGCGGAGAGCTCCGGGGTGGGGCCTGGTCGGGGCAGCCAAGGACAGGATGAAAATGATCATAAGCACAGGGCTTTATAACGTCTTTAAAGGGCACATCCGGTATCGCTTTCTCACTGGTGACGCAGGCCGGGCCGGGCCGTGGATCAATATTTCAGGGGCAGCCCAGCGTGCCATGCATTATTGAAGCCGGCCCCGGCTGCAGCTGCTGTGCCTGGAGCCAAAGTCCGGCCCAGCCGAGAGGTTTCAAATCATGTGGCAGGACTCGCCCGCTCGCCGCCTGCCCACCGCATGGGCGCCCGTGTGTACGTGGGAGGCTGGGGGCCAGGGCATGCGTGTGGCTCCATGCGGGACGTTATGAAAGTCGCAAGCTCCCTCCAAACCTCAGTTGCCTTGACTGGAAAATGGAGTCATCAAAGGCTCTTTTGAAAATTTCTTTTTTTAATATATTGTTATTGATTTCAGAGAGGAGGAGAGAGACGGAGAGAGAAACATCCATGATGAGAGAGAATCATGGATCGGCTGCCTCCTACACGCCCCCTACTGGGGATTGTCCAAGCTTGTTTTTTTAAGGGGCTTTTTTTTTAATTTTTAAATTTTATTTTATGCATATTTTTTTTTTAGTTTTTTAGTTTTTATTGTCGGTAGTATTACAGATATCTCCAACTTGCCCCCTCTCCCTTTCCCCCCAGTATTTTATTTTTTAAATATACTTTTTATTGATGTCAGAGAGGGAGAGAGAGTGAAAAACATTCATGATGAGAGAGAATCATGGATCAGCTGCCTCCTGCATGCCCCCTACTGGGGATGGAGCCCACAACACGGGCATGTGCCCTGACCAGGAATCAAACCAGCGACCTCCTGGTTCATGGGTCGATCGATGCTCAACCACTGAGCTACCGGCCGGGCCGCCTTTATCATTTCTGCAAGCATTGCCAAATCACCTTCAGAGAGGATGTATCAACCCCCTGCTCCTACCAACCTGCAGCCTCATTACCAGGCTTTGGCACTTTGCCCATCTGATAGTTAAGCGTGGCATCTCGCTTGGCAACCCGCCTGGCTTTAATGTGCGCGTATCTCTCACCATGAGTGAGGCCGAACGTCTGATCAAGTGTTCACAGCCGTCTGCGTTTCCTGTTCCATCAGCTGTGCAAGCGTGATGCGCTGTGGCGTCGCTCACCTTGTTCCTTCCTGCTTCTAAGAACGCTTCGCGGACTAGAAAGATCGGCTCTGTTTCTGTGATGTGACCTGTTAAATTTTCCCACTTCATTTTGCCCTTTGACTTTGCTGGGGATGGTGTTGCCTTTTTTTTTTTTTTACATACTCAAGTTTATCGGTGTTTGTTTTTATTTGTGGATTTGTTGTTTTATGTTTTGTTTCTGGATTTTGACTCCTCTATGCCATAATTCTCCTTTCCTTCCTTGTCCCCTTGTCATTCCTTTCCTATAAAGTGAAAAGCTTTGTCTGGCTGGTGTGGCTCAGTGGTTGAGCATCGACCTATGAACCAGGAGGTCACGGTTCGATTCCCGGTCAGGGCTCATCCCGGGTTGCGGGCTGGATCCCTAGTAGGGGGCGTGCAGGAGGCAGCTGATCCATGACTCTCTCTCATCATTGATGTTTGTCTCTCTCTCTCTCTCCCTGCCTCTCTGAAATCAATAAAAACACATTTAAAAGCAACAACAACCCAAAAGCCTGGCGTTTCTTCCTGTTGTGCTTTGCAGATTGACCAAAACCAGTTCGACAAAATCCTCGCGCTCATCGAGAGCGGCAAGAAGGAGGGAGCCAAGCTGGAATGTGGGGGCTCGGCCATGGAAGACCGGGGGCTCTTCATCAAGCCCACCGTCTTCTCGGAGGTCACTGACACCATGCGGATCGCCAAAGAGGAGGTACTGGGGATTGCAGGAAGAGCGACAGCCCCGGGGCCTGGTGCTGAGCTGAGGGGAGGGACTGCTGGGGGTCTTCTCAGGGGCTCAGTGACCCCAGATATCTGGTGAGGGGGGCCTATTCTTTTTTTTAATATATTTTTTTATTGATTTCAGAGAGGAAGGGAGGGTTGGAGAGAGAGAGAGAAACATCAATGATGACAGGGAGTCACGGATCGGCTGCCTCCTGCACGCCCCCTACTGGGGGTCGAGGGTGCAACACGGGCATGTGCCCTGACCGGGAATCGAACCAACCGTGACCTCCTGGTTCATAGTTGGGCGCTCAGCCACTGAGCCACGCCGGCCGGGTGCTCACCGCCATTCTTGCCATCGATTATAGATTTTTGGGCCGGTGCAGCCGATCCTGAAGTTCAAAACGATCGAAGAAGTGATCAGAAGAGCCAACAGCCTGGAATATGGGCTCACGGCGGCTGTATTCACGAAGAACTTGGACAAAGCCCTGAAGCTGGCTTCCGCCTTGGAGTCTGGCACTGTCTGGTGAGTGTTGGGGGAGTGTTTTTGGGGGTGGTTCGGGGTCCTGGGCGGCTGGAAGGCTGCCTTCATGACTCATCAAATCACAGTCATATATTATGGGCCAAGCTCTGTCTTTACTTTGCTGGATCCTCGCGACCGCCATCTGTGAAATAGGTACCATTATCGTCTCCATTTCCTACCTGAGGGCATGTAGGCTCAGAGAGGTGCAGTGACCTGCCCAGGGTCACACAGCGCTCTCTCTGAAATCCATTTTTTTAGAATTTTTTAAATGTTTATTCATTTCCTGAATTGTTGGGAAAAAAATAAGCCAAAAGCTTTATGCCAGGAATATTCAAATCTCAGTTTCTGCTGGGAAGCATAGAAGGCGGACATTAAAAGCATACCGTCTCCGTGATTAAAACTCAGAGCCGGGACATGCAAAATCCAGGTGGGTCCCCTCCGGGTAACCCTGGGCATCGTCTCCTTCTCTCTCCAGGATCAACTGCTACAATGCCATCTACGCGCAGGCTCCGTTCGGTGGCTTTAAAATGTCGGGAAACGGCCGAGAATTGTAAGTGCCCCGGTCCCTCCACGCCTGTTTCTACCTGTCCGGTGGGTCAGATCGGTCACTTATTATTTCTCTATTTATTTCTAAAAATATATTTTTTAATTGATTGCAGAGAGGTAGGGAGAGGGAGAGAGAAACATTATTGATGAGAATCATGGATTGGCTGCCTCCTGCACGCCCCCTACTGGGGATCGAGGGTACAACCCGGGCATGTGCGTGACCTCCTGGCTCATAGGTCGACGCTCAACCGCTGAGCCACGCCGGCCGGGCCGCATGTCTGTGTTTTTGACCCTTGGCACATATTTCCCAAGGCTTTTGATAAAGTCCTCGACCATAATTCACAAGGAGCCTGGACACAGCCTTGAAAACCGATTTCCATGTTCCGCTGTCTCCACTGAATGTCTTCATGTTGCAAGAAGTTCCCCTTTTTCCCTGCTGGCACCCGGCTCGGTGAATTCCATGGTTTTCCCCGGCCCCGTCGCCCGGGCTGGGCTGGCAATTTGCCGCCCACCCACGGGCCCTCCGGGGCCTGTGCCTCCGCTGGCCTTAAGAAGAAGCCTGTAATTTCTCTTTCTTCAAGGTGCTTTTTAAATTTATTTTTTATTTTGTTGTTGTTAATCCTCACCCAAGGATATTTTTCAATTGATTTGATTGTCTCCTGCATGTGCCCTGACCAGGGCTGGGGATCGAGCCTGCAACCCAGGTACGTGCCCTTGACTAGGACTCGAACCCGGGACACTTCGGTCTGGGAGCCGACGCTTTAACCACTGAGCATAGCCTCAAAAAAGCCGAGCTAACCCCAAAGGGCCGATTCCCAGTCAGGGCACATGCCCGGGTTGGGGGCTTGATCCCCAGTAGGGGTCGTGCAGGAGGCGGTCGATCCATGATCCTCTCTCATCATGGATGTTTCTCTCTCTCTCTCCCTCTCCCTTCCTCTCTGAAATCCATAAAAAGTATATTTAAAAAAGAAAGAACACGGTTGCCATGGGTGGGCTGAGGGACACGCGCCTCTCACACGCTTTCTCTCTCTCTCTCTCTCTCTCTCTCTCTCTCTCTCTCTCTCTCTCCCACAGAGGCGAGTACGCACTGTCGGAATACACCGAAGTGAAAACAGTCACCATCAAACTGGACGACAAGGACCCCTGAGGGGAAGGCGGGCTCTGTCCTCCGACGTCTGAATGTGGCCCATCCATCCAACCTGCCGGAGAGAGAGCGACCTCGCTCACTCCCTGGCCCTCTCTCTCCTGGAGACCTTACGTCCCCTGGATGGATGGGAGAGATTCTCATTTCCTCCTCATTCCTGTTGCATTGACCAGTATGTTGGGGGGTAGAATTGCAGTTCTGCCTGGAGGTGGCGCTGTGGAGCTTTCCTTTCTTTCTTTTTTTTAATTGTCACCCGAGGCTATTTTTCCATTGATTTTTAGGGAGAGTGGGAGAGAGCAGGGAAAGACAGAGAGAAACATCGATGCACGAGAAACACATCGATGGGTTGCCTCCTGCACGTGCCCGGGCTGGGGAGGAGCCTGCCACCGAGATACGTGCCCTTGACAGGAATCGAACCCGGGACCCTTCGGTCTCCAGGCCGATGCTCTATCCACTGAGCCACACTGGCTCGGGCACCTGCTTCCCTTTTCAACCGGGTCCCCTGGGATGGTGAGGAGGCTCAGGCCGTGCCAACAGGAAGTGGTGTGTGACGTCTCCGACAGTCGCTTCAAAATGCTTTGCTGACTCTACTGCAGGAAGAATTTGGGAGAAACGTCCCTGAATGTTCTAGAAACCTGGCCCTATGCCTGGGGGTCCCTCCCTTGTACTTGTTCCTCCCATTCACAAGCCCCTCCTACCTTTTATATGGAAAGGAATAGCACTAAGTTAAAAAAAAAAAAACCCACCCAAACAGAATTGCAAGGATCCACTAGGGGGCGCTATTGGGAAGCAGGTCCCCTGGAAAGTTACTGAAGGTCTTGGGTGTGAAGGGGCATAAGTCTTCCGGGACTACATTTTGACCTTGACCTTGGGACTTAGCTTCAAACCAACCCTGCCTTTAGATTAGGACTGAATCAGCAGCCCAAACACCACGGCTGGGGTCCCCGTCCCTGTGACCGGTCCAATGTCCTGACGCTTACGACAGCAGAGCAAATGCGAGGGTCAGTAAGTCCCGCATGTCCCCAAGCAGGGCCATAACTCGCTTTGACAAAGGATGCGTTTCCGTCACTTGGATTAGTGGTTGAGCTAATGTTCCTTTTCCCCCAGTTTAGATGTGCAAAACATACACAACTCCACAGGCTGCTGTTCAACACAGCCCTGGTTTTGTAGAGTCCTATAGAGTTCTTTTTTTTTCTTTTTAATCTCAGAGAGGAAGGGAGAGAGAGAGAAAGAGAGACATGAATGATGAGAGAGAATCATGGATCGGCTGCCTCCTGCATGCCCCCTATTGGGGATGGAGGGTGAAGAAGCAGGTCCCCTAGAAGGTTACTGAAGGTCTTGGGTGTGAAGGGGCATAAGTCTTCCGGGGACTACATTTTGACCTTGACCTTGGGACTCAGCTTCAAACCAACCCTGCCTTTGGACTAGGACTGAATCAGTAGCCCAAACACCACGGCTGGGGTCCCCGTCCCTGTGACCGGTCCAATGTCCTGACGCTTACGACAGCAGAGCAAATGCGAGGGTCAGTAAGTCCCGCATGTCCCCAAGCAGGGCCATAACTCGCTTTGACAAAGGATGCGTTTCCGTCACTTGGATTAGTGGTTGAGCTAATGTTCCTTTTCCCCCAGTTTAGATGTGCAAAACATACATCCCTTCCTCTCTGTAAAAAATCAATAAAAATATATATATATATTTAAAAAAATATATTTTTATTGATTTCAGAGAGGAAGGGAGAGGGAGAGATAGACACACATGAATGATGAGAGAGAATCATGGATCGGCTGCCTCCTGCACGCCCCCTATTGGGGATGGAGGGTGAACCCGGGCACGCGCCCTGACCGGGAATAGAACGGTGACCTCCTGGTTCATAGGTCGGCACTCAACCACTGAGCCACGCTGGCTGGGCCAGGGTTATCATTTTTTCCAGAAATATGCAATCCACCATTCACTGTCGCCTCAGCACCAGTTAGTTCTTACCACTTACACTGTCAGTAACTTGTGAAATCAGGACTTAACGCATACACTGAATTTTCAGGATTTTTATCTTAAGTAATTATAGACACTAACCTTGATAGGAATACATTAGAGGGTTCTTATTCTGTCATTGTACAATAATAATGCCTTTAATATGAAATGGGACATTATTTATAATTGATATAGTTAATGTATCTTTTTATAGTTGTAAGTAAACAGAGGTGGTATATTTAACCTTCTGTAATATACTGTATTTAGAAATGGAAATCTATATAGGCTTAAATGTCACTCCTTCGAAGGTTTACTCCTGTGGTACGGTTTTAAAAAAAATCTATTGGCCTGGGAATTCTGACCCTAACTGCAGACTGTGTTAACAATGCAACCACAATAAAATACAGTTGGATATTTGAGAAATGTTATGTGTGTGTTTTTAAGGACCAAATCCACTTTAAGTTATGACTGACCTTTCTCTTTCTTAGACCTTCGGTACAAAATGGCTTAAGATAAAGTAGAATCAATCCCTTAAGAATAGCCCTAGCCAGTTTCGCTCAGGAGTGTCGGCCCGTGGACTGAAGGGTCGCAGGTTCGATTCCCGGTCAAGGGTATGTACCTGGGTTGCAAGTTCCATTCCTAGCCCAGTTGGGGTACGTGTGGGGGGCAACCAATCGATGTGTCTCTCTCACATCGATGTTTCTCTCTCTGTGTCCCTCCTGCTCCCTACCACTCTCTCTAAAAATCAATGAAAAAAATATCTTTGGGAGAGGAGAAACAACAACAAAATAAATTCAGAACAAGATGACAGGTGCTCCACTGAATTTAGCCTGAGTGGGGCATTTCGGGGAGCACTTAGTCCAGACCGGCCGGTGTAGCTCAGTGTTTGAGCATCGACCCATGAACCAGGAGGTCACGGTTCGATTCCCAGTCAGGGCACATGCCCGGGTTGTGGGCTCGGTCCCCAGTAGGGTGTATGCAGGAGGCAGCCGATCCATGATTCTCTCTCTAATCATTGATGTGTCTATCTCTCCCTCTCCCTTCCTCTCTGAAATCAATAAAAATATATTTTTTTAAATATATATATATATTTTTATTGATTTTTTACAGAGAGGAAGGGA